GATGAATAAAACTTATTATACCGGCCGGGTGCGGTGGCTCATGCCTGTAATCCTAGCACTCTGGGAAGCCGAGGTGGGCGGCTCGCTCGAGGTCAGGAGTTTGAAACCAGCCTGAGCAAGAGTGAGACCCCTGTCTCTACTATAAATAGAAAAAAATTAATTGGCCAACTAATAGATATATAGAAAAAATTAGCCGGGCATGGTGGCGCATGCCTGTAGTCCCAGCTACTAGGGAGGCTGAGGCAGCAGGCTTGCTTGAGCCCAGGAGTTTGAGGTTGCTGTGAGCTAGGCTGACGCCACAGCACTCACTCTAGCCTGGGCAGCAAAGCGAGACTCTGTCTCAAAAAAGAAAACTTATTATATCTTAAAAAAAAAATAAAAATTTACCATTTAGAGTAGTTAACTATATGTACATTGTTGTGAAATAAATTTCTTTTTCCTTCCTCCCTTCCTTCCTTCCTTCCTTCCTTCCTTCCTTCCTTCCTTCCTTTTCCTTCCTTCCTTCCTTCCCTTTTTCCTTTCCTTTTTCCTTTCCTTTTTCCTTTCCTTTCCTTTCCTTTCCTTGACAGGACCTTGCTCTGTTGCTTGGGATAGAGTACGATGGCACAATCATAGCTCACTGCAGCTTTGAACTTCTGGGCTAAAGTGATCATCCTGCCTCAGCCTCCCTCCCAGGTAGCTGGGATGACAGGTGCCCACAACCATGCCCAGCTAATTTTTCTGTTTTTTTGTAGAGACAGACAAGGTCTTGCTATTGTCCAGGCTAGTCCTGAACCTGGGCTGAAGCAGTTCTCCTGCCTCGGCCTCCCATAGTGCTGGGATTATAGGCGTGAGCCACTTCACCCAGCCTGTGCAACAAATTTCTAAAACTTTTTCATCTTGATTTCTTAAAATGCTTGTCCGTTTATATATCTTCTTTGGAGAAATGTTCATTCAAGTCCTTTGCTCATTTTTAGTTTTTTTTTTTTTTTTAATGTTCTTGAGTTGTAGTTCTTTATATATTCTGGGTATTAACCACTTGTCAGATATATGGTGTGCAAATATTTTCTCCCATTCTGTCGTTTGGCTTTTTCACTCTGTTGATTGTTTTCTTTGTGGCTCAGAAGTTTTAAAGTTTGACATAGTCCTGTTTGTCTGTTTTTGCTTTTGTTACCTGTGCTTTTGGTGTCATATTTGAGAAATCATTGTCAAATCCTATGTCCTGAAGCTTTTCCCGTATGCTTTCTTCTAGGAGTTTTATAGCTCCATTTATGTCTTTAATCCATTTTGAGTTGATTGTTTTATATTGTGTAAAGTAAGGATCCAACTTTTGCATGTGAATGTCCGATTTTCCCACCACCATTTATTGAAGAGACTGTCCTTTCCCCACTGTTGTGTAGTCTTGGTGCTCTTGTCAAAGATGATTTGACCATACATAAAAGGGGTTTATTTCTGGGCTCTCTATTCTGTTCCATTGATCTTTGTCTGTATTTGGGATAATACCATACTGTTTTGATTATTGTAGCTTTGTAATACATTTCCAAATCAGGAAGTATGAAACCTCTAGCTTTGTTCTTCTTTCTCAGGATTGTTCTGGTTATCTGGAGTCCTATGAGATTCCATATGAATTTTAGGATTTTTTTTTCTATTTCTGCAAAAAAATGCCACTGGCATTTTTTTTTTTTTTTTTTAAGAGATGGCGTCTCACTATGTTACCCAGACTGGACTCAAACTCCTGGGCTCAAGTGATCATCCTGCTTCAGCCTCCCAAGTAGCACTAGTGGGATTTTGATAGGAATTGTGCTGAATCTGTGTATCACTTTGAGGCATATGGAGATCTTAGCAATAGTAAGTGTTGAACATGAGATGTCTTTCTATTTTTATTTGTGTCATTTTAAATTTCTTTCAGCAATTTTTTTCTAGTTTTTGGTATATAAATCGTTTGCCTACTTGATTAAGTTTATTCCTAAGTATCTTATTCTTTTTGATATTGTTTTAAATAGAAGTATTCTTTTAATTTCCTTTTCAGATTGTTCATTATTAGTGTATAGAAATGCAACTGATTTTTATATATTGATTTTATATCCTGAAACTTTGCCAAATTTGTTTATTAATTCTAACACCTTTTTTTTTGTGGACTCTTATAGGGTTTTCTACATATAAAATTATTTCATCTGTGAACAGATACACTTTTACTCCTTGCTTTCTAATTTGTATGTCTTGTATTTCTTTTTCTTGCTTAATTGCTCGGGCTAGGAGTTCCAGGTCTGTGTTAAATAGAAGTTGTTAAATCAGGCTTGCTTTCGTTGCTCCTGATCATAAGGGAAAAGCTTTTAGTTTTTCACCATTGAATATGAGGTCTGCTGGGCACATCCCCTTTATTAAACTTTCCTGGAACAGCCTGGTTTGGGTGTGTCATCTATTTCCTGCAGGACACTAAATAGGATGCCTATTCAGGACACTGAATAGGTGTAAATAAGCCAGACACTGGGACAGACTGTATAAGTACTCGTTCCAGAGTTTGCAGAAAGAATTTTCATGACCGCTTCTGGGCTTGATGTGGTCCATGAATTTGTGCCAGTTTTGCTGATTAGAACAACTTTATTTTTCCAAATGGTCCGTTTGAAGCAGTAGATAAGGCTGGTCTTGCATTGTTAGTTTCTTGTATAAATGTATACACTTCTTTCAGAAAGGTGTTTTTTGTTTTAAACTATTTGGTACTTAATGATTCACAATGCTTAGGCAGTCATCAAATGAAGAAATTAATACTGTGAAGAAACAACAGTTTTTATACCCCCCTAGAGAGGCCCTGTGCCTGGAGGGTAAGAGTCAGACAGTCCTGGGTTCTACTTTTTTTTCCCCACTTGGCTAACTTCATGAGCTTGGGAAATTGTTAGCCTCCAAGGAGCCAGAGTATCATAGAACCCACTTTAAAGTTTAATCCTTGTATGGGGATTAAACAAGGTGGTATACATGAAGAGCTTAGTTTACTGCTGTGCCTGACACATTATAAACACTGCAAATAATAGTAATTATTGTTAAAAACTTTGGTTAAATTTGGGAACCATATTTAGGTTCTGTTGATGAAAAAAATATTTTAAAAATCATTTCCTGTCTGTGCATTGATGCTGTTTGCATGTGTCTTGTGCCTTGGGTGTCTTTGAAGCCTTGCTTTCTGGTCTGTTATTATCCGCCAGTCTGAGGATGGCTCCACGGCATGGCTGGGGCCCAGCAGAGTGAAATTCAAGAGCTGGCATTCCAGGGGGCAGCGTTGGTGCCCGGAGGCAGAGGGTGGAGGTGTAAAGCTGTCTTGGGCGCAAAGCTGACCATGTGCTTTTGTCCTCTGGCTTGTTGGCCTGAACTTGAAATCCTGCCTTCTGTTCACTGACCTTGAAGAAAGGAAGGCTATTAAAATATAGGCTGTGAAGCTAGAAGGGGAAAGGGAAGGGGGACAGGACTGGGGAAACTGCCCTGATGGGGGTGATGGGGTGGACTCTGCTGTTAGCCTACACTGTTCTTTAGGGAAAACGAGGAAAAAGTGAAAGTAATTTACAAAACGAAGGGTGGCACCTCCTGATAAAGCAAATCCCAGAAGCTCTTAATGTTTTGTTACATAAGTAATTACATGATCATTTTAAAAAGCAAGGGAATTAAAGAGAAAACAAATTCAGTTACCTGAAGTCCTCTACCCGTAGATTATCACTGATAATATTTTCATGTATTGCCTTGTGGATTTTTTTCATCTGCATCTATATCTGTATATATGTTGAAAATGGTATTATTTTAGTCTGTAGCTCTGTGACCTGCTGCTCTTTACCTTGTATATGGCCCTCCAAGTCAGTGAGTAGAAATCTATGCTATTATAAAGTGGCCACAGAGCATTTTATTGTATGTCTTTGCCTTAATTAAATGCAGTCAGTGCCATACCATTGAACTTCTAAATTATTTCTTTTGCTCATTATTATAAAGCAAACTCTGCAGTCGTTTTCTTAAATGCAGTGAAACTCTGTTGGTCTCTCTACCAGTTTATAAGGTACTCAAAGGCAAAGTCCATGCCTTGGAATTTTTTTTATCCCCAAAGCACCTGGCACAGTCTCCTAATAGGCAAGTTCTTGATTGCTGAATTTGACATTGAAGAGATGAAGGCGTGAGTCACAGCCATGATTTCATTGTTTATCTTTCGACCAAAGGCCATCAGCTGTCAGCCTTAAAACACATGTATCGCAAGACTACATCAGACTTTCTAATAACCTGTGATAGTTATAGTAGATTTGGCATAACACTAAGGTTTTCAGCATACTTTTTATGTTATGCAGATCTTGGGTTGGCTGTTCTTATTATATTACTCACGTTTTGCACAGGAAGAAACTGAGAAGTATGCTTTATGCTATACCATGCTGCCTCTGTGTTTAACTTGCCTGTATGATTTTTTAAAAATATTTAAGTGTGTGTGTGTATGTTTATGTTAAATTGGCCCATTGGGACCTATGGTGTTACTTTTAGGTACCAATCACATAAAAAATGAAGCAAACCCTTTTTGGTAGCTATTTTGCAAAACAAGCTTAACATATTTTTTTTTCCTAGGGAGAGTTATGCTAATATTTACTTAACTAGATTTGCTGGTAATATTCAAGGTTATCTAAAAATTCTAGACTCCCCTCCCTTCCCTTCCCCTTCCCTTCCTCTCCTTCTTTCCTTTCCTTTCTTTTCCTTTCTTTCCTTCCTTTCCTTCCCTCCCTTCCTTCTTTCCTTCCTTCTCCCCTTTCTTCCTTCTTTCCTTCCTTCTCCCCTTTCTTCCTTCCTTTTCTTCCCTCTATCCATCTTGCTCAAATTAAAAAAAAAAAAAATTCTAACCGCAGAAATACTGTCCAGTGGAGACACTCCTGTATCTGTAACTCCTCGGCTGGCTTGTTGCTTTGCCATGAGCTCGTTATGTCTGTGGGCACATTTTCACAGGTTGGTTTCACCAAGGAAAGGACTTTATACTTGTCTTTCTCTCTCCCTGTCTTCTGGGTCCTCAGCTATGACAGAGCCTCCACTTTCAATGTGTTTGTGGGAAAAGGACAGCTGATAGCCGGGATGGACCAAGCTCTGATTGGGATGTGCGTGAATGAGCGGCGTTTCGTGAAGATTCCCCCAAAGCTCGCCTATGGAAGTGAAGGCGTTTGTAAGTTTTTGTCTCGTACTTATAAACACACCTCCAGAAACAACTGGAACATTGGTAGCCTGTTCAGTCAAGGAGACCAGAGAATCTTGGAAGCTTTAGATTGGGGAAAATGAAAGCAATGAACTCACATACAGCTAATATTTCCATTTTAGGTTTATTTCTTCTAGATATGAGAGAAGGTGTCATTAACACAAATGCATTGAATAATGCCCTTGATGAAAGGAGAATTTTCTTCTCTCTCTTTTTTTTTAAATTTTCCTTTTTTTAATTTATTAAAAACTTTTTTTTTTTTGAGACAGAGTCTTGCTTTGTTGCCCAGGCTAGAGTGAGTGCCGCGGAGTCAGCCTAGCTCACAGCAACCTCCAACTCCTGGGCTCAGGCAATCCTTCTGCCCCAGCCTTAGCTGGGACTGCAGGCATGCGCCAGCTAATTTTTTCTATATATATTTGTTGGCCAATTATTCTTTCTATTTATAGTAGTAGAGACGGGGGTCTCGCTCTTGCTCAGGCTGGTTTCGAACTCCTGACCTTGAGCAATCTGCCCGCCTTGGCCTCCCAGAGTGCTAGGATTACAGGCGTGAGCCACCTCGCCTGGCCTAATTTTCTTTTCTTTTCCAATTTCATTTGGAGGAAAGACCAAGTTAGAATGGGTCATTTGGGAATTGTATACCAGTGACTGGCTTGAACCCTTTCAGATTCTGTTTACCTTGGGTATGTCCTAGTGTTTATTTCTCTGACCTGAAAGGCAGCAACTGCGAACTCAGTGTGAACTCTCTTTAATTTCTAGCTGGTGTGATCCCGCCAGATTCAGTGCTTCATTTCGATGTACTTCTGATGGATATTTGGAATTCTGAAGACCAGGTTCAGATTCATACTTATTTTAAGCCCCCCAGCTGCCCTCGGACCATCCAAGTATCAGATTTTGTGAGGTACCACTACAACGGCACCTTCCTGGACGGGACCCTGTTTGATTCGAGGTGAGTCCTGCCACTCAAGGCAGTCACTGAAATGGCCCTTGGTTCCTTTCTTCTTTCTCGCTTACTTCTTCTGCCCATGGGGAAGCCAGAAAAGGGTTTCTACTCCTCTGCTTAAGACTTTTGGTCAATGTTGCATGCTCCATGTGCCAGAGTCAGAATTTTAATATAGCTTAGAAAATTTTTGAGAATTTTTTTCTCTTCTTTTCTTTTCTTTTTTTTTTTTAGAGACAGGGTCTTGCTTTGTTGCCCAAGCTGGAGTACAGTTACATGATCATAGCTCACTGTGACCTAGAACTCCTGGGCTCCAGCAATCCTCCTGCCTTAGGCTCCCAAGTAGCTGGGTTTATAGGCACATACCACCCTGCCTGGCCAATTTTTCTATTCTTTAGAGAAACAGGGTCTTGCTATGTTACCCAGGCTGGTCCTGAACTCCTGGCCTCAAGTGATCCTCTTGCCTTGGCTTCCCAAAGTGCTGGGATTACAAGTGTGAGCCATTGCTCCTTGCCCATTTGAGAAAACTTTAAGAGCAATGTTTTTCTAATTTAACAGTATTTTGAGATCTCATCATTAGGTGAAGGGCCCTGTTTCTGGATAGGCTTATGCATGTTTTGTTTCATTTTTATACTTTTCCCATAGAAGGAGGGGGAAGATGAATGTATTTGAAGGATGGAGAGGTATGGGGTAAGCTGGAGAACAGGGAACCCTTTGTGGTTGCCTCTCATTAGATTGCGTTTGATTAGTGGAATAGCTGGCCTGTTTTGGGCAATCACTAGCATAAATACATGCTTTTCATTTCTTCCTAAATGTGAGGAGTTCTGCTCTATATCTGGGGTCCAAGATCCATAAACACCTGTCTCTAAGGATAGGCATGGGCTTACTGTTTAGCTTAGATTCGGATAACAAAAACCTTACTGAGGGATGAGTTGGAAACACCCTCATGGTACAGAGCTTTTTCCCTTTCTCATTGGTTTTCAGTCACAATCGCATGAAAACATATGACACGTATGTGGGAATTGGCTGGCTGATTCCTGGAATGGACAAGGGGCTGCTGGGGATGTGTGTGGGGGAAAAGCGCATCATCACCATTCCTCCTTTCCTGGCCTATGGCGAAGATGGAGATGGTGAGTCCTGCTCTTTCTTGGAGCCATTCTCATCCATCCTTACTTTCTACTGCAGTGATTAATTCAGCCGTCACCCCATGAAACCCACCAGACCTTTTGGTCTAGGCCTGCACTGTCTAATGTGGTAACCACCGGCTACACGTGGCTATTTACATTTTAGTGAAAATGAATTGACATTTAAATAAAACTTAAAATTGAGTTTCTTGGCCCCTCTGCCACATCTCAGGTACTCAAGAGCTGCAGGTTGCTGAGGGCTACGGTCCTTTGGGCAGTGCAGACACAGAGCATTTCCATCGCTGCAGAAAGTTCTGTTGGACAGCGCTCACCTGACAGTTGAGTTGCAGAAACTTCTACTGACTCACGGTCATTGGTGTTCATAAGGAAGCCCTCTGCCCCTGCTGTAATGTGGCCTCGGGCATCAGCTTGTCTTGCAGTCTCATCTGTCAAATGACATTTGAACTAGACAGTCCAAACGGTGCAGACATCAAGGTAGAAATTTAGCTGTATGCTGTTAGAATTGCCAAATTTTTCCTGATCTGCACCTCTGTGATGGGTTTTACCTATAACATTAGCTCTGTATGGACAAAAGTGAAGCATAATGTTAGGAAATGTATTGATTAGGCCTGGCATGGTGGCTCACGCCTGTAATCTCAACACTTTGGGAGGCCGAGGTGGGAGGATCACTTGAAGCCAGAATTTGAGACCAGCCTGAGCAACATAGCGAGACCCTGTCTCTAGTGAAAAAAAAAAAAAAGAAAAAAAAATGAAAATACATTAATTATAAGTAGTGTCCTGTTTGTAGTTTTACTATAAAGGAAAACATAAAATATTGCCTAATACACAGAATTTATCAGTTACTCGTATTTGAATTTCAGGCATGTTCAATTATACTGACAGGCTGATATAATGAAGAGACCTCTAGGCATTTAAATAGCAGATAGGTACAGTCATGTGTTGCTTAACTACAGGGATACATTCTGAGTAATGTGTCATTGGGTGGTTTTGTTGTATGAACATCATAAAGTGTGCTCACACAAACCTAGATGGTAGAGCCTAGGACACACCTAGACTACATGGATTAGCCTATTGCTCCTAGGCTACAAAGCTGCATAGCACGTTACTGTACTGGATACTACAGGCAATTGTAACATAATGGAAAGTATTTGTATGTGTGAATATAAACGTAGAAAAGGTATAGTAAAAATACAGTATGATAATCTTATGGTACCATTATTGTATATGTAATCTGTCATTGACCAAAATGTCATTATATGGTGCATGACTATTTGTGGTTAAGAACATAAATGAGGCTGAGCGTGGTGGTTCACGCCTGTGATCCTAGCATTCTGGGAGGCTGAGGCAGGAGGATCATTTGAGCTCAGGAGTTAGAGACCAGCCTGGGCAACAGCGAGACCCGAGACCCATTCTCTACTAAAAAGAGAAAAATTAGCTGGATGTAGTGGCGTGTGCCTGAAATCCCAGCTACTTGGGAGGCTGAGGCAAGAGAATTGCTTGAGACCAGGAGTTTGAGGTTGTAGTGAGCTATGATGATGCCACTGCACTCTAGCCCGGAGACAGAGTGAGATTCTGTCTCAATAAAAAAAAAAAAGAATATTAACAGGAACATGATGCTATTTAAGAAGTTTATTGATAGTGATACCCACCTTATAACAATTTATAATAACCACTATAATGTTTTCCAGTCTGTTTCTTTGTTCTGTAGGTCTAAGGAGCAGAAGGAGAGGGGAGCCTGGGTGGATGGGGCTCAGCCTTGCCTCCTGTCTGCCTCTATTTTTATATATTTTACATGTTAGGAATCTCCAGACAGTTTCTTAAAAAGGAGGGAGGGAGGGTGTAATTCCCTACTAAAAGAAAAATAAACCACTTATGTAAACATATCTTCATTGTGCCCACGCCTGGCTTATCATTAGCTTTTTAGTTTGTATCATAGAGAGTATTCTTTTTATTTTTTAAATATAGTTTTTCTCTACTAAGTGATACATTGACATGATTCAAAATGACTAATTTCCCTCCAGTCCTTGTTCCAGTTCCCCTCTTCATAGGAAACCAGTGTTATTAACTTCATAGGTTTTACATGCATGTACAATAAAATTCTACGGCCCAGGCTAGAATGCAGTAGCATGATCATAGCTCATTGCAACCTCAAACTCCTGGGCTCAAGCAATCTTCCCAATTCAGCCTCCCTACTAGCTGGAACTACAGGTGTGTGTCATTATGCCTGGCTGATTTTTCTTATTTTTTGTATATATTAGTTGGCCAATTAATTTCTTTCTATTTATAGTAGAGACGGGGTCTCGCTCTTGCTCAGGGTGGTTTCGAACCCCTGACCTCGAGCAATCCGCCCGCCTCGGCCTCCCAGAGTGCTAGGATTACAGGCATGAACCACCTCGCCCGGCCAAAAGTAGTTATTTTTTAATACTTGAATACGGTGCTCAACTACCACGTATAACTTGAAATGGGTGACTTGTATAATATGTGAATTATATCTCAGTAAAATTGCTATAGAAAATACTTAGTACATGTTAGTGCTAGAAAAATTTAAACCCTGGGGTTACTTTTGAGGCTTTCTTTCTTTCTCTTAAATTAAAAGATACAGAAAAGTACAAAAGATTAATATTCAGTCTCACGCACACTTCAGGGATTGGCCACACCTTGCATTCCAGAGGCTGACTCAGCAGCTGGCTTTCGGCAGATTTCATCATTTCTCTGACGGAGAGACAGACCCAAGGGGTGGACTCCGCCAAGGGACCGTTTGAAGGAGCTCAGGCTGGGCCTGTCTGGCTCCCTCACCCAGGCCTACTCCTTTGTGTGGCATGGCCAATGGCAAGCAAAAATGTTGAGGTAGTTGGTTTGAGAGTTAACTTTCTTTTATCCCAAATTACTGGATTTAAGAGTTACTTATTGGTTGATGTTGATCTTTACAGGAAGAACTAGTGCCCTGTTATCTCTTCATGTGGATTTCATTTTGCAGATGTTGAATACATCCTCGCTGTCAGGAACATCCAAGAGAAAGCAGTACCATTAAGTGAGATAGAAATAATTTGAGGACTATTTATATTTTGGATTGTGGGTGCCATTTTTTTCTGTGTTATCTTAGCTAACTTTCATTTATTTATGTCTTGTTTTGGATACACTTAGAGGATTGAATTCTGTATTCAGTCTCTTAAAAATAGTGACTGTTGGTTCCAAAGAACAAGTCTGTGGACAGTTCTCTAGAACCAGACCAGAACTTTGGAATTTGTGCCTTTAAATGTCTGTGATTTGCATTTATACACAAACAGAAACCCACAGAGGTATGTATTTGGGCTTGCATGTGGGTGCATGACCACCCACATAGAGCTTTGATTTTCTAGCATGAGCTCAGAAAATATGGTCACGGTAGTCTCTTATGTCATTAATATCAGTTTGCTCCTTTTCCTGAGTAAGTCAGGCTTTAGATTATACACACTGGCCCATGGTTGGACACCATGGGGGACCACCCAAGTCCTGGGGAACATCATTTGTTTCATTTGCTTAAAAACCTCAAGGAATGAGTAACACCAATGCAGAGGGTATTGAGTTGTAGAGTACTTCCTCAATCTCGTGTCTTCAGTCTCGTGTCTTGCTCCATTCCCTTCCAGGAAAAGACATTCCTGGACAGGCATCTCTGGTGTTTGATGTTGCGTTATTGGACCTCCACAACCCCAAGGACAGTATTTCCATTGAGAACAAGGTAGTACCTGAAAACTGTGAGCGGATAAGTCAGAGCGGGGACTTTCTCAGATATCATTACAACGGTACCCTTCTGGACGGCACCCTTTTTGATTCCAGGTAAGGAAACAACTGGAGCCTCCAGTCCCCCGGGTGTCTTATAAAGTACAGTTTCACTGGCTAGACCATGGTATAAATACTCTGTCAGTGCTGCATGATAGTGTTTTCATCTCTAAGATAAGTTTTTGTTTTCTGATACTGGGTTTCTTCCTAGATTGTTATAACAATGTCTTTCTTGGGGGCTGTTTTAGATGGGTCTGCAGGAAAACAGGAGAAGCTCACTCTAGACTCCCACCCTCCCCCTACACTGTGCTTAGCTGTCCACATCTAAACCCAAGGATGGGGTCCAAGATGGGGAGTGGCCAGAAGTGAGGTCAGGGAGGTACATTGGGCAAAGGCTGGGCTTGGTGTCAGGAGACCTGGATTCCAGTTCCTGTCTGTGGCGCAGTAGCTCCGTGACTTTGGACAGCATTTGACTTCCTTGAACTTCAATTTTTTCCCTGTCCGAGCATCCTTCTCAAAGAGATGGTTAAAGAGAGAAGGTATGTGAAGGCTCTTTGCCAACCCCAAAGGCTGATCAGCTGGAGGGGCCTGGTTGGATGCATTCAGCTTCCTTCCGGAGGCTGGGTGCCCTAGAGGCTAATTACCATGCCTCTTTTGTTATTTGGAATTTTGTTTTGTTTATCAGATGAGGCTTGCAGTTGTACAGATGGCTGGAGTTTGGTATGTCTTGCTCACTCAAGTGGCATGTGTTGTTCGGAAACTATTCCTTTAGCTTCCTGTAGAGCCAATAAGGAATGACAGCACCCTCCCTGCCTCTCCGAGGTGATAGACTTCTAGTCTATTTAGTCATCCAGAAACATCACAGAAGAATTTATTTATGGTATTATTCAATTTGAATAATTTATTCTTCTTGTTCCTAGTATCTATATTTTCTTTTACATTTTTTATTTAAATTTTTTGGAAAAAGGTAAATCATATGGCTCAAAATCAAAACATAGTGTGCATTGAGATGTGTTGTACACCTGTCCCTGTCTACCTTACACCCCCTTAGAGTTAACCATTTTTATTGGTTTCTTTTTTATTTTTCCAATGTGTGGATTTTTAAAAATGCTGATATAAGCAAATACAAATATTATCTTATATTCTCCTCTTTATGGTATATGGAATACTATATGTACTGTTCTGTTCTTTGCTTATTGTTAACCTTGGGATTTTTCCATGTTAATGCATAAAGAGAAATCATTTATTTTTTACATCTACATAGTATCCCACTGGTTGAATATAACGTATTTATATAAGCATTTCCCTATTGATGAACATTTGAGTTTTTATCTTTTTGTGTTGCAAAAAAGAAATCTTTCAGTGCCTACGTACATTGTTACTTGTTACATTCCACCTTGGTTCTGTTCTTTATTCCCTGGAATTATATTTCCAACTGAAGGATCATTTTATAGTGTACACCAGATTTCTGTTTACCTAATGGAACTAGACTTTTCTTAGGTTTCAAACTGCTTTCCATTTCAGTACAGTGGGATCTAGCCTTTCCTAATAGCTACATGTATTCTATTGTATAGATTTGCCTTAATTTAATCAGTCCCTGTTGTCATTTAGTTGTGGCCTATCTTTTGATATTTAATTAGGGCTGCAGTAGTTATTTTTGTAGCTAAATCTTAAAATATTTGATGTCTCCTTGGGGTAAATTTCTGGAAGACTCTCTGGGTCAAAGGTTATATGTATTTTTACAGCTTTTGATATATACTATCAAATTGCTCTCAAGGAAGCTTTTACTACCCAACCTAGTTTACGAGTGTCTATTCCTTACAAACTCAGTAACATTGGGTGTCACTTAAAAATAATCTTTGCTGATTTATAGGAGAAAAATGGCACCTGTGGTTTTAATTGAATTTCTTTGATTGCTATGGTGGTTGAAATCCCTTCAAATGTTTATTTGGATATCTTCTTTCGTGAAGTACCTGTTCAGGTCCTTTGGGTATTTTTCTATTGAGAGTACTGGTATTTCTCCTTTTCTTATTGATTTGAAGAGCTCTATATATTAAAGATCTATCTTCGGATGTTTATTGTTTTTTTTTATTCGGCAGTATTCATGGGGTAAGATTTGTAGGTTTCATAACATTGCCGGTTTCCCTCTTCCCCTGTGACATTGTGAAAACTTCTGCGTATTTTTCTTTTGTTAGCATTTTTTGACCCTTTAATGGAATTTTTTTTTTTTAGAAGAAGTGTCACTCTCTTGCCTGGGCTAGAGTGCCGTGGCGTCAGCCTAGCTCACAGCACCTCAATGGGCTCAAGCGATCTTCGCTTCAGCTCCCGATACTGGGGTTACAGGCATGCACACACCATGCCGGTAATTTTTTCGTGTGTATGATATTTTTACTTGGACATTTTTCTATTTATTTTAGGAAGGACGAGGCTCATCGACTCTTGCTCCAGGGGTGTCTACGAAACTCGGTCAAACAAATCGCCTACCTCGGCCTTCAAGTGTGGATTGACAGGTGTGAGACCACCACACCATGCCAAATGTGAATTTTTTATGTCATTAAATATAATATGTTGGACTTGCCTTTTATGGTTCCTGTCTTTGGTGACTTGCTACCAAGTTTCTCCCCTCCCTAGAGTATATAAATATTTGCCTTTTTCTTCAAGCCCTTTAATGGTTTTCTTTTTTTATCCTTTAAATTTTTTTATTAGATTTGTTCAAAGTTATATTCTTATTGTAAGACTGAATAATGAAAGAGTGTGTAAGAAACAATGTAATAATTTTCCATCAGCCCTTTCACTCACACTACCCTGAGGTAACCAGTATTAACAACCTTCCACAGTCTCCCTCCATGCTCATAAATGCTTTCATATTTAAATCTGTAATCCATCTGGAATTTACTGTGGTATCAATGTAACAGGAAGGATCTAACTTTATTTTTTTCCAACCAGTTAGCTAGTTTTCCAACATCCTTCATTGATAGCCATCTTTTCCCCACTAATCCAAAATGTGACATTTGTATGACTAATTTTATATATGCTTTTGGGTCTTTGTCTAGAATTTTTATCCTTTTCTATTGATTTATCTACCCCTGGGCTAGCATTATTCACTTTAATATCATTTAGCTTTTTTTTTTTTTTTTTTTTTTTTGAGACAGAGTTCGCTTGTTGCCGGCTAAGAGTGAGTGGCGGCGTCAGCCTAGCTCACAGCCAACTCAAATCCTGGGCTCAAGCATCCTCCTGCCTCAGCCTCCGAGAGTCTGGATACAGGCATTTGCCACATGCCCGGCTATTTATATATGTATATTAGTGCCATTAATTTCTTTCTATTATAGTAGAGACGGGGTCTTGCTCTTGCTCAGGCTGTCTCGAACTCTGACCTTGAGCAATCCGCCCGCCTCCAGCTCCCAGAGTGCTAGGATTACAGGCGTGAGCCAACGTGCCTGGCTTATCATTAGCTTTTTAGTTTGTATCATAGAGAGTATTCTTTTTATTTTTTAAATATAGTTTTCTCTACTAAGTGATACATTGACATGATTCAAAATGACTAATTTCCCTCCAGTCTCTGTCCAGTTCCCTCTCCATAGGAAACCAGTGTTATTAATTCATAGGTTTACAGCATGTACAATAAAATCTACGGCCAGGCTAGAATGCAGTACATGATCATAGTCATTGCAACTCTCAAACTGCTGGCTCAAGCAATCTTCCAATTCGCCTCCTACTAGCTGGAACTACAGGTGTGTGTCATTATGCCTGGCTGATTTTTCTTATTTTTTGTAGAGATAGGGTCTGGCTGTATTATCCAGACTGGTCTTGAACTCCTGGGCTCAAGCAATTCTCCCACCTCAACCTCCCTAAGTGCTTGGATTATAGATGTGAGCCACCTCTCCTGGCCCATTTAAATTTTTTACGATAATGATAGCTTGCTCTGTACTGTACCTTTAAATTCCTAATTCTACTTTCTTCCAAATGAATTTTATTTTATTATTTTTTATTTTATTTATTTTTTTTGAGACAGTCTCGCTTTGTTGCCCAGGCTAGAGTGAGTGCCCTGGCGTCAGCCTAGCTCACAGCAACCTCAAACTCCTGGCTCAAGCACCTGCTGCTCAACCTCCAAGTAGCTGAGTACAGGCATGCGCCACCTTGCCCAGCTAATTTTTATCTATTATTTAGTTGGCCAATTAATTATTTCTATTTATAGTAGAGACAGGTCCTTGCTCTTGGTCAGGCTGGTTTCGAACTCTGACTGAGTGATTCTGTCCGCCTCGGCTCCCCAGAGTAGCTAGGATTACAGCGTAGCACTTGCCTGGCCCAAGTGAATTTTAGAATTACTTTATCGACACCCTTGCACCACAGATAGACCACCGGGATTTTGACCGGAGTTATTTTTAAGTTCCATAAATTAGCTTAGAGGGGTATTGACTACTTTTCCATTGGGGAACAGGATGGTTTTCCATTTACTTGTCTTGAACATTTAAAGTTATTCAGGCCCACGCTGCTTGTCCAGTCTCTCCTGAGGCTGTTTCCTGCCTCTCCGCCTGGCCCAGTGCTTCTCCCCTACGCAGCTCCCACGGCCTTCAGGGTCCATGGCCCCCTGCCCCTGTGGAACAACCTTCACCGTCTGCCCAACTGGCAGCTCCTCCCCTGTGAGGCACCTGTCCTCTCTCCCACCACCTGGTGTCCCTTCATCAGGACCCCCCCTCACAGGTTTCCTCCTCTTCCCTGCATGCCTAGCAGTGGGCGGTACCTGCCGGAGAGGTGGGAACCAGGGGCAGGTCAGAGCCCTGCCCCGGCTGGAGGATGCGCAGAGCCGGGCACTGTGCTCCCTTCCCGGCCTCCCTGCCAGTGTGAGGGGAGGAGGTTGGGGCTGCTCTCCTCCTTGGAGGGGGTGGGAAGGGGTACTTCTCCACAGCCTCCTCTGGGGGGTTTTGTAGGTAATCTCTCGCTTCCTGGGTGAGGAAAATCATCTGTTATCATCATTTCTTCATGCCCCTTGGCTGTGCGGACGCTGAGGGGTGTTGAGAAGGGAGCACCCCGCACAGCTCTGCCGCTTCATCTCCCCGGCCCCGCTTGGTGGGACCGTCCTCCCCCGACCGTGCCTGACCAGGTGACGGCGGCAGGGCTGACTGCTCTGTCGGGACGAGCTTCTGCCTCATCTGCACTGGGTGGCGTGGGCAATGGAGGCAGGCCCCTGTGGCCTGATAGCACACTCGGCCTATGATTGTTCTATCATTTTATTCTGGAATCATCAGGTTTTGGGGAATCGATTCTTGTTTTCAGCAAACTCACAGTAATCAGACTCCGCTGGCAATTGACACAGAGGCTGGGTCTCTCCACTGAGCGGAATACTTGGGCCTCCTGCCAGGGACACTTGGGAAACCGAGGTTTTCACGGGGGTAGCTTGGCGAGCAGGACTACAGTAGGGATATTTCATCCAAGCTGTGGGAGAGACTGCAGAATTAAATTGCCCTCTGTATATGTGCTACTTTTCTGGCAGTCAGAATATTCATGTCCCACGTAAACAGGTATCTTCTCTTTAGATACGTGAGACATTGTCCTTGTGACACATTCTTAATTTCTGATAAGACTGTGTTTGATGCTTTTCTTATTAACTCAACATGGTTACCAACAGTGCAGTCTGGTTTATAATAGCTCCCTTTCTGTGTGGTGCTTCTCATAACCCACGCTGCATTCATAACCTGACCAAACCAGAGGGTCGGATGGCGTGTTTCTGGGAGTGTTTGTGCAGATGGCTGTGTGGGGGCCTTATTCTCCATTCCAGGGTTTCCTGGCTATGGTTTATCCTGTTCCGGGTCTGGAGGCCTCTATACTCCTTTGCATCATGGTCCTGACTAGTTTATTCAGCTCCCATGTTCCTCACGAATGACCTTCCTTCTTTTCTAGCTACTCTCGGAACCGCACCTTTGACACCTACATTGGGCAGGGCTACGTGATTCCTGGGATGGATGAAGGTTTACTTGGCGTTTGCATTGGAGAGAAGCGAAGGATTGTGGTCCCCCCTCACCTGGGCTATGGAGAGGAAGGAAGAGGTGAGCACCATCCACCTGCCTCGCTGGCTGTGGCCTCTTCCACATGGCTCGGAACAGGGCTGCTTCTCTCTCTGTCTCTCTTTTTTTTTCCTTTTATTTAGTGGCAGGGTCTCACTGTGTCACCCGGGCTGGAGTGCAGGAGCTATTCACAGGCACCGTCATAGTGCACTGCAGCCTCGAACTCCTGGCCTCGTGATCCTCGCATCTCAGCCCCCCCGAGTAGCTGGGACCACAGGCACGGGACATGTGGTCTGAGTGGGGAGGGCGTCTTGAGACCAAAAACGTTGGAGCTAAAGTCCAGTTTAAGACTAGAATGCCCAAATAGACTGAAGTTTCTAGAGTTATTCTGTTGTTTCTCCTTATTCCCCCTGCCCATTTTCCTTTTGAAGATTTTTGAACCTACAACAGAGTTGAAAGAGCTAGACAGTAAATTCTACTTTGTTTCCCCAGTTGTTAAGCATCTTGCTATATTTGATCTCCTTTTACATTTATTTATCTTATTTTTGGCAGAACCATTTGAAAGTAAGTGCAGAAGTTCCTTTTTGGTTTTTGTTTTATATTACCCTAAAATTCACCCACTTAAGTATACAATTCAATGACTTTTAGTAAATTTAGTGAGTTGTGCAGCCATCACCAAATCAAGTTTTAGGACAATTTTATCACCCCCAGCAGTAAACTTCCTTTTAAAAGTTGCACAGATAATATATGTTGACTTTAGAAAAAGAAAATACAAATAAACAAAACAAAAATCTCCCATAATCCCACCACCCAGAAATAAATGTTGCAAATGTTAATGTGATAGGCACAATATTGGCCCCAGAAGATGTCCATGTTCTAATCCCCAGAACCTGTGAGTATGTTACTTTGTTAAAAGGGACTTTACAGATGGGGTTAAGTTCAGGATGTTGATATAGGGGGTAGTATCCTGGATTATCCAGGTGGCCTTGAAATGCTTACAAAGGTCCCTGTAAGAGGGACGCAGGAGGTCAGAAGGGAGAAAGTGCCAAACTGCTGACTTAGACGATGGAGGAAGGGCCACCACCATCGGGGAGTGAGGGTAGCTTCTGGAAGCTGGAAAAGGTGAGGAAACATTCTTCCTGGAAGCCCCCAAAAGGAACATATCCCTAAAAACACCTCGAATTTACACTTCTGACCTCCAGAATTAGAATCAGCTTACATTGTTTTAAACTTACAAGTTTGTGGTAGTTTGTTATAGCATCATTAGGAACCTAATACAACCATGAAGCGAATATCCTTCCATACTTTTGTGTATCTGAGGGCTGTCCGGAAAATATCCAGCCACAGTTCTCGTTATATGAACAATGGCTGGATACTTTCCGGACAGCCCTCGTATGTATAGGTTAAAAAAATATGTCCACCTATACGAATAAATAATGACAAAAATGGGATCATCTGTACATGTTACTTTGTCATTTCTGTCTTCACCCAATTTGTTGTGAACAACTTTCTATGTCAACGGATATATTTTTTTCTTTTTTCTTAATAGGGACCACTGCAACAGGGTCTTGCCATAGGGGAGAGAGAGTAGATTAAGTCTGACCTACAGATATTTTTAATGGCTGCATAGTATTCCAAACCATGTTTTCTTTCTCAATTATGGATGTTTTTTCTCGTATACTATTTTTTGCTAACTTGCTTAGGAAGAGTTGGTGCAATATTTATTTTGCTTCTGTGTTCTTTTGCTGATGGAATTTCTGGCTGGCCTTGCTAACTGTATATACATTCATTTTGTTAATACTGTTCTGCTTTCTACCGATATATAGATCTTGAGATTTTTCCTAGTAGGGTTGGTCAGAAACTGGGGTGTGCCATGGAGAAACATTTTTTTTCCCCTGATTTAAATTTCCGGTTTATTAAGCCGCAACAGATCACAGCTTGAGATATATTCGTTAGACTTTGCTTCGTGTCCTGTTTGTTCAGCGTCTTGATGTGCTGTTGTTTTGATCCTGTAAATTTCTACTTCCAGGCAAATACATCCAGAAACAGGTAAATACTTTCTGCGTATTCTTTTTTCATTCTGACCTGAGGGACTAATCCTTTCTCTCTCTAAAAAGAATGTACTGATGGAAAACATTTGCTTAAATTATTTTTTTTCCTTTTGGTTTTTCATCCAGTATGAAATCGAGCTCTGCAAAGAATTATATAAGGCTCTGGGAAGCTCGTAAATTTTCTGGGCATGAGACTGCTTCATCCTGAGTCATATCTTGCTGTGAGGGAGGGTGCCCTGAGGAGTCAAACCCAAGTGCTCTCCCGGGGTCTTCATCTGTCTTCTCCTGACCTGCGCCTACCACGGCCTCTTTGTGGGAGTTGCATAGGGTCTAATGCTGGGCCCTGAGGGACTGGCCCAGAGGGCGTCAGGATGCAGAATCCGTCTAGTTTGTGGCTTCCTTGCCACACACCCCAAGGCCCTGCACATAGTAAGCATTCAGCAAATATTTGTGGAAGGAATGAATTGCCAGGCTCTCTCTCCGTGGGGCTCTCAGCCTCTGTCAGCATTTCCTTTTGTTGCAGCTGGTTTCCTTTGCAGGCTTGGTGGAGAGGAGGGGGTAGGCCTTCTAAGAAAGGTTCTGGACCTTTCTGCTGTCTGCTTTGTTCCATGGGGTCAGCCCTGCAATTAGGATGCTTAGATGTGTCAACGGAAAAAGCCAAACTCTATAAAATAATTTTAAAGAGATTTATTTTGAGCTAAATTTGAGGACCATGACCCGGAGACCTTGGGCAAGTGGACTCTGTGGTTGGGTTACAGTTTGGTTTTTATACATTTCAGGGAGACAGGGGTTACAGGTAAAGTCATAAATCAATACGTGGGAGGCATACATCAGTGTGGCCCCAAAAAGTGAGACATCTCGAAGGGGGGTGCCTTACTGGTTATAGGTGGGTTTAAAGATTCTTTTGGATTGTAATTGGTTAAAGACTTGAAGCTTTGTCTAAAGGCTTGGAATGTTTTAACATAAGGAGCTGTTACAACATAGGTTTGTTGTGTAAATTGAGGACCTGCAGGATTGTCTTGCATACCCTTAGGCCTGTTAATTGGTTACAAATGATGTCTCTAAGAAGGGAGGAGGCCATGATGAGGCCTGTCTGACCTCCCTCCTCCTGGCAGACAATTTAGTTTTCGGATATTCCTTTGGCTACAAGGGGGTCTATTCAGTCAGCTGTGGGGGGGACGGCGGGGGTGAGCCTTAAAATTTAATTTTAGTTCACAGATGTGTTTGCAGCTCTGCAGCGGGGAATGGATTCTGTCTGCAAGTTTGTGTAAGCATTGCTTCCTCAGTGGTTTGTCATTACCCAACTTCCAAGTGACCTTTTGAGCACTTTTTAAGAAAAGAGAGGAAAGTGAAGAAAATAACTTATATTTTTACCCACTGTGTGTCTGGACTTGTTGCACCTGGACTCATTCAAACCTGGAAGCAATCCTCTGAACTATTATTATCCTCATGGTTCAGATAAGATAATGAGCCCCAGAGAGTTTGAGTCATTTGTCCAAGGCCACAGTAGCTAATCAGTGATGAAGCCAGAATTGGACCCAGGGCTTTCATTCATTCATTCACTTATTTGTTTTTCAGTTCATAGCCATGTCCTATTTTTTTATTTTTCATTTTTTTTCCCCCAGTTTGTAGCAGTGTCCTAATTACCTGGGGCTTTCTGACCTGCATGTGTCCTAGGCAGACAGAAAGAATTGAGTTTCCATCTATAGTGGCTTGTTGATACTCACATATGGAGAACTGAGAACTCAACCCAGAGTCCCAGAGCTCTCAGAGGACATTCAGGACTTTCCGATGATACTCTCCGGGAGCTGCCGTTTCCTGGCCTGCTGCCTATACATTTTTGTCATGTATATATTTTGCCTATATATCTGTGTTTCTCCTTGAAGAGGCAGACTGGTGAAAACTGAATGTCCACTTCTGCATTGGTTAAGGGCTAATTCAGAGAGGAGGCTGATGTTGGGGCCACAGTGAAATGTTGGATTGTTTTCACCTGTTTGTTGGTCAGCACCGGTTTCTACACTTAACCTATAGATAGCTTTGTGGACGTCAGAGAAAGATAGACAAGTGGAGCTCGAGGCCCCAAGGCAGGTGGGGTCTCTGTTTTTGTAGGCCCACAAACTCCATCCGCCCATCCAGGAAAGATTCGTTGAGTGTCTTCATGACCCGACCCTGCTCTAGGTGCTGAGGATTCAGCAGAGAAAAAGACAAACAAAACTTCTTCTTACACAGAGCTTATGTCTTGTTGATGCCCTCAATAGAGGTATGTTTGTGCCTCCCAGGAAATCAGGCACCTGGTAGACTGACTCACGTTAACTTCCTAGGAGCTGACTTACAGACCTGATGCTGAATGGAGTGGGTGTGAATCAACCTCTCCTCCACTGCTTAGAATGCTTGTGCCTGGAATCCTCAGGCCAGAGAAGCTGGGTTAATTGTCAGGAGAATGCTTGACAAGCTGACGTCAGATCCCAGGATGTGGGTGGTCCCAGGTATAATCCTTTTTGCTCTGGAGAAAGCCCCGTACCCAGTGCACCTTGGAGGGGAGATTATATTTGCATTGACCGAATTTGGTGTCTGCCTAGCTAGGTAGGAAAAAGGTCACCTGCTCACTTAGAGACCACTTAACATAGTGTTCCTTAAACTTGGTTGCCTGTGAGAAATCCCTGGAAAACTTTTTTAAATGCCTAGCTTCAGTCTAGTCCGAGAGTTCTCAAAGTTTGGTGCATATCACAGACGAGAGTCACCTGGGATGCTTAAAGCTCACAGAATCCAGGTGTGAGTGGGAGAAGGCCTAGCCCTTTGTATTTTTACCAAGTTCCCTGGGACATTCTGATACCCAGCTAAGTCTAAGACCACTGCTCTAGATAAGCTACTTCTGGATCTCGAGAGTGAGGCCCAGGCATTAACATTATTTTTAATGCTCCTAGGTGTTTTTTTTTTTGAGATGATCATATGATTTTCTTTTTTATTCTGTGAATGTGGTAAATTACATTAATTGATTTTTTTATTGTAGTAAAATATGCATAACATCTTCACCATTTTAAACATTTTAAGTGTACAGTTCATTGGCATTAAATAGATTCACAGTGTTTTATAACTATCACTCCTGTCTATTCGGAAAACTCTTTCATCATCCCCAACATAAACTCTGAACCCATTACACAAGAAGTCCCCTTCGCCTTCCTCTCAGCCTCTGGCAGCCACCACTCCACTGTCTGCCTCCACTGTTTGCACATTCTAGGGACTTCATGTAAGTGGAATCATGTATTATCTGTCCTTCTGTGTTTCGTTCATTTTACTTAGTGTAATGTTTTCAAGGTCTCTATCCATATTTAGCATATATCAAAATTTCATTCCTTTTATTGGCTAATAAATTTCCTTTTTATGGCTGAATGAATATTCCATTATATGTATATACTGCATTTTGTTTATCAGTTCATCTGGCAATGAATGCTTGGATTGTTTCCACTTTTTGCCTATTGTGAATAATGCTGCTATGTACATGGGTGTTCAAATTTCCACTTTCAGTTCTTTTGGATATATATCTAGGAGAGATATTTTTAAATTTAATTTTTTATTGAGATATTCACATAGTATAAAATTAATCTTTTTAAAGTTTACAATTTAGTTGTTTTAGTATAACATATTAATAAGGTAGTGTAACCATTACTACTGTCTAATTCCAGAATTTTTTTTTTTTTTGAGACAGAGTCTCACTCTTGCCCAGGCTAGAGTGAGTGCCGTGGCGTCAGCCTAGCTCACAGCAACCTCAAACTCCTGAACTCAAGCCATCCTCCTGCCTCAGACTCCCAAATAGCTGGGACTGCAGGCATGAGCTAATTTTTTCTATTTATATTTTTAGTTGGCCAATTAACTTCTTTCTATTTTTAGTAGAGATGGGGTCTCGCTGTTCCTCAGGCTGGTCTCAAACTCCTGACCTTGAGTGATCCTCCTGCCTTGGCCTCCCAGAGTGCTAGGATTACAGGGGTGAGCCACCATGCCCCAGACATTTTCATCACTTCAAAAAGTAACTGCTTACCCATTAGCAGTCACTCTCAGTGCCTTCTCCCAGCCCCCAGCCCCCAAGCTGGCAATGAGTAATCTCTTTCCTGTCTCTGTTGATTTGCCTCTTTTAGACATTTCATACCAGTGGAGTCCCACAGGATGTGGCCTTTTGTCTCTATCTGCTTCCACTTAGCATACTGTTTTCAAGGTTCATGCCAGGTGACTTTAATGGGTTATCAAGGTTGAGAAAGCACCGATCTGGCTCTGCAGCCACTCACCCCTGATCACGTGTGTTAGTTTCCCACATGGAGCTGCCCTGGGCCCTGGCTCAGCCTTATGGCTGTCGTCTCACTTCCTGGTTCCTGGGGGAAGGACCTGCACCACATTCCACTCATAATAGCAGCTCCTGTCACCAGTGAATACCAGGCACCTGTGTTCTGCTATAAAGCACAAGATCCTCTAATTATTACCTTTAACTTTGGACAAGCCCCAAGTTTGGTATCTCAGTTTCATCACCTGTAAATTGGGAATACAGGAGTTTAATGAGAATTAAATAATACATATAAAGCACTTAGAAGAGTGCCTGGTACTTAATAAACACACATTTAGAGAGAGGGGCCAGGCGCGGTGGCTCACGCCTGTAATCCTGGCACTCTGGGAGGCCAAGGGGGGAGGATCAGTTGAGCTCAGAAGTTGGAGACCAGCCTGAGCAAGAGTCAGATCCCACCTGTACTAAAAATAGTAAAATTTAGCTGGGTGTGGTGGTGCACACCTGTAGTCCCAGCTACTCAGGAGGCTGGGGCAAGAGGATCGCTTGAGCCCAGGAGTTTGAGGTTGCTGTGAACTAGGCTGATGCCATGACACTATAGCCTGGGCAACAGAGTAAGACTCTGTCTCAAAAAAAAAAAAAAAAAAGAGAGGGTGTGTGTATGTATGTGGGTCTATTAGAGAGAGAGAGGAGAGAGACCAACCAAGAAACAGAGACAGGAAAGTACCTGGTCTGTGTCACCTCCCTGGTGAGGATGGGAGGTGGGAGGGGCTGTTGGTGTTCGTGTGTCTCCATCTGAAATCTGCCTACAGCTGTGTTTTCTTGAGTTGTATCAAGTCTGAGCTGGTTTTCTTATAGGTAAAATGCTAATGATAATACTGCATATATCCTTGACTCTAACATGATTTAAAAAATGTTTACAGGCCAGGGCGCGGTGGCTCACGCCTGTAATCCTAGCACTTTGGGAGGCCGAGACAGGCGGATTGCTCAAGGTCAGGAGTTCGAAACCAGCCTGAGCGAGACCCCGTCTCTACCAAAAATAGAAAGAAATTAATTGGCCAACTAAAATAATATATATACAAAAAATTAGCCGGGCATGGCTGGCGCCGCATGCCTGTAGTCCCAGCTACTCGGGAGGCTGGGGCAGTAGGATTGCTGAGGCCCAGGAGTGTGAGGTTGCTGTGAGCCAAGCTGACACCACGGCACTCACTCTAGCCTGGGCAACAAAGTGAGACTCCGTCTCAAAAAAAAAAAAAAAAAATAAATGTTTACATTCGAACTTCTCTGAAATCACCTAAGGGGTGTGTTTCAGAACTGACCATGTGTTTAAGGTGTCCCCCACCACCCAAGAAGCTGTCATTAAATTCCTGGGTTTATGGTAATAGTCACCCCATAAGTTTGTTACAGGGATTTCATGAGAAAATGTATGTGAGAAATACTTTTGTAAATTGCAAAACATTACTCAGATGAGAGATACTGTTTTCAAAAGTGGAGATTGTGGAAAAGAAAAGTTTATTAATACTTTTGTGTGGAACAAACAGGACGTGTTGTAAAAGCATGTGGTCGACTATTAGGCGTACTGTCACAAGGGGTCAGTTTTGTTGAGGGTCTTCTCCTCCGTGAAGTTTATGTTCGTTTTATTTTCTTGAGCAGAGGTAGGTAGGGCACTGGGGTGATTTTCCCTCTGCCAATGATTTTCTCATCCCGCCTTCCACTTCCCGTGGGTGAGGGGCAAGCCTTAATTTGGCTAGGCTCCAGTGTGCTCATCTATGATCAGCTTAGTCACTCATCTTTCGGGCCCAATGATCCCATAGTCTTGAATGGATGCAGTATCCCACAGTCTTGAATTTTAGTCCAAACTGTGCTCATAACTGGCTGTAAGACCTTGGTCACATCCATGCCTCAGTATCTCCATCCGTTAAATGAAGATTAGGTTACTTCTGATGGCCCATTGGGCTTCAGTCTCCTAGGCTTTCATACCTGGTGCCTGTATTTCTCACTTGGAGGGCTGGGAGGACCTGCCTGGTGACACTGGGGAGGCGCGTGTGCTGCAGCTTGGAGGGTTCACTCATTAATTCCCTGCGTCTGTCCGTCAGGGAACATCCCCGGCTCGGCCGTGCTGGTGTTTGACATCCACGTGATCGACTTCCACAACCCTGCGGACTCCATCAGCATCACCTCCCACTACAAGCCGCCCGACTGCTCAGTGCTGAGCAAGAAGGGGGACTATCTCAAGTATCACTACAACGCCTCCCTTCTGGACGGGACCCTGCTGGACTCCACGTAAGGGCAACCGGAACGGTGCGGGGGTGAGCCTGGAGGGTGACAGTCAGGTGTTCCTGCCATTCTCCTTCTCTTTTATCTTTATTTATTTATTTATTTTGAGACAGAGTCTTGCTCTTTTGCCCGGGCTAGAGTGCCATGGCGTCAGCCTAGCTCACAGCAACCTCAGACTCCTGCACTCAAGCAATCCTCCTGCCTCAGTCTCCCAGGTAGCTGGGACTACAGGCATGCGCTACTGTGCCTGGCTAATTTTTTCTATTTTTAATTGTTTGGCTAATTTCTTTCTATTTTTAGTGGAGACGGGGTAGGGTCTCACTCTTGCTCAGGCTGGTCTCGAACTCCTGAGCTCAAGCAGTCCTCCCGCCTCTGCCTCCCAGAGTGCTAGGATTACAGGCGTGAGCCACTGTGTCTGGCCCTCCCTTCTCTTTTCATTACATGTTGGTTGTGAGCTTTGGTCCCCTTGTCTTCCCCACTGCATAGCTCAAGCCTGTCTCACTCTGATGCTCAGTTTCCTGTTCTAAGAGTTTCACCTTGCTCTGGGCCATTTCTTAGCCCATGAAATTGTCTTTCTGAAAAGCAGATCTCATCATACAACTGATGTCTTTAAAAACTGACTCACAGGTAAAAGCCAAACTCTGGAGTCTGGCACATAAAACTCTTTTTGTCAGCTCCATTCTGCCTCACCAGTCTCTTCTGCTGGGGCCCATCTTCTGTCTTCCAGGGCTGCCATGTGCGATAGTACAGGTTGTGCACTGCTTGCTTCCTTTTTTCTGGCTAACTTCTGCCCTGGCTTAAATATTCTCCCTTTTCTCAAAATCTTTCCTTAATTCCTAGGAAGAATCAACTGCTCCTGCTTCTGTAGTCTCAGAATACTTTATGCATTACCTGTCATTTAGTTATTTTTGTTTCTATCTCTGTTGCTGGTCTGACTACCTCAGGGCACCCAACTTGTTTATTCATATTTTTATTCCCTGCACCTTGCCCAGAGCATAGCACAGAAGGAGCATTTTATCAGTGTTAATTGATC